TAAACAACTCATCTGAAGATAATAATGAAATGAAATCAAGTGGTACCACCAGTAACACAGGCAATGTTAACGCATCCATTCCAAAACCAATTAAAAAAATTATTGGCATCAAAGTAATCGACAACTACAAACTTCAGGCCGAAAAAAACCTTATAAAAAAGACCGTTTTCTTGATGAGCAACGTAAAAAGATGTCACAGAAACGATGTCATAGATTTTCTTAAAACAAGTGGTATAAACGTCATCTCTTGTTTTCCGGTGATAAAACGTTCTAATCAGGATATAAGCGATCCAGTAAACAAGGATGAGGAAGAATCAACGATGTTTCGTGTATGTGTCGAAAGTTGCGATGGACCGAAGATGAAGGACCCGGAAATTATGTTAAAACACATCATTGTACGCGAATGGCGTTTCGGGAAAAACACCGACAAAAACTCCGATACAACGAACAAACATGGCTGACAAAAATTAGTTAAATACTGTTAACGACACTCGCAGCAATGTCGTAGATAAAACCTGCAGACTATATGACGATATAAATCAAATAAATGCTTTGTATAACTCCATCAGCGACAACGGAATTAACGACAATTTGTTTTTCAAACTAATGCATTTAAACATTAGAAGTTTAGTTCACAAATCAGAAGACTTACTCGATTATTTAAACAACTTTTCTTTTAAATATAACATTATTGGTATAAGTGAAACGTGGCTGAATGATGACAATATCAAGTTAATAAATATAACTGGTTATGATTTTGTTGGTAAAAATCGGTCTGGTAAGCACGGTGGTGGAATCGGTTTGTATATTGATAACAGTATTACGTATAAAACAAGAGACGACATCAATAGCATTAGCAGCATAGAATTATTCAGCATAGAAATAACAAACGATTGTTCCAATAAAAATGCAATAATTGTAATAACATATCGGCCTCCTACCTATGACGCAAATATGTATTTTCAACAAATCGAACAGGTACTACAAATCATAAGTCTAGAGAACAAATTAGTTTACCTGATCGGTGACATGAACATCAATTTACTTGATGCTGATTCAAATGCCAGCAAATTCCAACTTCAACAATTATTAACATCATACAACCTATCAACTTTAATAACAACCCCAACAAGAATAAGTTTAAATAAAAATTCAGTCATTGATAACACGAGCGAACCAAATGCAGTAGAATTATGTGGTACACAGGTATGTGATCTTTCGGACCACCTACCAATTTTTATAATTGTAAATATGAAGTCTAACAGAATCAAGAACCATTTTCTGAAGGAGAAATTATACTTGTTTACAAGTGAACGAATCAACAGACTGAAGGAATATTTAATAAACAGTGAAATTGTTCGTTCTCCTGCGGACACCTTAAACGATTATTTCATCGGTATAGCTATAAAACTAGGTTCATCTTTCAACAATTCAACACTCTGGAAAAATCACCTCACTAATAAACTTCAAAACTCGTTCTTCTGTCTGTCGACCTCAAGCGATGAAATAATTGCAACAACCAGACTTCTCAAACCAAAAACAACCAGTGGATGGGATGGCACTCCTATGAAAATAATAAAATCTACCATACATTCAACAGCTCACATTTTGGAATTCCTAATTAACCTTTCTTTCAACTCCGGCACATTCCCACGATGTTTCAAAGTCTCAAAAATTGTACCGATTAAAAAGGATGAGGGATGCAACGATTTAACTAATTTTCGACCCGTTGCTCTTTTACCAAATTTTTCGAAAATAATAGAAAAAATAATGTACAAAAGGCTAAATATCTTCTTCAAAAAAAATTCCATAATTAACGATTCACAATTTGCATTTCGAGAGATGTACTCGACTGAGCTGGCAATAATAGAATTGATCAGAAAAATAGGGATCGCAGCAGACGACAAAAAATACATCGTAGGCACGTGCCTTGATCTCTAGAAGGCATTCGATTGCATCAACCACAACATCTTGCTGGCGAAACTAGACCATTATGGAATACGTGGCTCGCAACTGAAATGGTTCAGAAGTTACTTATCGGAGAGAAGTCAATTTGTTGGCTGGCAAGGTACATGCTCGAGCGAAAAATTAAACCAAATTGGAGTACCTCAAGGCAGCATTTTGGGACCATTGCTATTCATTGTCTTCATCAACGATCTCCCGAAAGTTTCAACATTCTTTGATTACATTTGCTTCGCAGATGACGCTAATCTATTCAGTACAGGCAAAAACATCGATGAACTCATCTTGAAGACTAATAGTGAAATTAAAAAGGTCGTCTCATGGTTTGAATGTAATGTGTTGACATTGAATAGCAGAAAAACACAAATGATTATTTTTGGCCCAGTCCAATATTTAAACTACAAGGAGCCATATAAGATCGTAATAAATAATTCGGATATTCTCGAAAGCAAAACTGTTAAATTTTTAGGAGTGATATTTGATCAAAAATTATCTTTTCAACAACATGTTCGATATGTTTGCACAAAACTAGCAAGATCAATTGGTCTATTAAATAAAATAAAATTTTTCTTGCCTAAAAGAATTCTTAACATGCTATATAAAGCCATCTGTACTCCATATATCTCATACTGCAATACAGTCTGGACAAGCGCCTATCCAACTACAACAAATCCAATAAAAATAATCATGAAGAGAGCGATGCGAACAATCACACTTTCCAAAGCTCAATCCCATTCACAACCGCTATTCGCCACGACAAGCAATCTGACTTTCGATCAAATGAGTACATATCACGCGGCAAAATTCATCGACAAACAATTGACTGGTAAACTACCTCCGATTTTTGACGGTTATTATAAACGAACGAAGAATCAAAGGAGCATCAATTTCATCTGTTCCAACAAATCAAAAACGAAAACTTTACATCAACACATCATTTGCAGAGGACCCAGAATTTGGAATTTTTTATTAAATAAAGGATTTAATTATGACAGATCGAACATGCAGAACTTTAACCATCATTTGAAAGCATTTATTAACTTGATTAATTAAAATCACTAGTTTTAAGAATATAAATTACATTTTTATAAAATATTTATGGCATCATGTATGCTCAGTTGTATGTATGTGTGTGTGCTGACGTATACGTAGATATTTTTATATACGTATGTGATCCTATTCTCTTCTATCTATAGCTTATATAGATAGATTCAATCAGGTATTCAATATGCAGTTTTGTTTATAGAGAAATATAGACCTAACTTATTATTAGGATCAATTAGTAACATCTCAAACTTAATACATTCCATTTAGAGAATCTGAAGTTTTTTGTGGTGCACGATGATAATATTTTGATGAACAGTTAGTAACACCGTAAATATAATATACTCCAATTAGAGAATCTGAAGTTTTTTGTGGTACTCGATAATTTTATTTTTACGAACAACTAATAACACCGTAAATTTAATATATAACATTTAGAGATTCTGAAGTTTTTTGTTTGATGGCTGTGCCCGATGATTTTGTTTTTGTGATCAATTAGTAACATCAGAAGGTTAACATATTTCATTTAGAGATTCTGAAGTTTTTGGTTTAGGTGGCTGTGCTCGATGAGTTTCATACTAACTCCTCACAGTCAACCTGCACCTTATTTTCTTTATTGAGGTCAAATAAATTATTTCGTTTCGTTTCGTATGTATGTATGTATGTATGTATGTATGTATGTATGTATGTATGTATGTATGTATGTATGTATGTATGTATGTATGTGTGTGTGTATTGTGTGTGAGTGTTTGTATGTGTTCGTGTATGTTGGTTAGTTTAGCTGCTTACAATTGTGTCGTCTCTTTTTATTTGTATCCTGGTTGCTGGTTCATTTATCTTTGTGTTTCAAGAGTTATGCATTTAAAAGTCGATTTTTACAAACCAATGTTCAGTTCATAAAATTGAAAACTTTCTAGTGCATGTTTTCTGGTACACGCACATACATCGTCACAAACTCACAGACATACAGACAAGCGTACGCTCACATACAATCAAACATACAAGCAAGCTTACGAACATACGAGTAGGAGCAAAAAAACACTTATTTAGACGCGTGAGGGGACATATTTATTTGCAGGATAACGAAGATATGATATGAACCTTTTTTTATTTTGAAAGTAGCTTCACTGAAATCATTAGCATCATCATCATCATCATCATCATCATCATCATCATCATCATCATCATCATCATCATCATCATCATAATAATAATAATCATCATCATCATCATCATCATCATCAACATCATCATCGTCATCATCATCATCATCATCATCAATATAACAACATCATCAACACCCTCACCATCATCTACCTCCTCCTCTTTCTCTCCATCACCACCATTGCCATCATCACCACCACCACCATCATCAACATGGCCACCACCATCACAACCTCCACAACCACACGGTTGTTTTAATTCCACCCATCGACACTCCAACACCGACCCCGACCTGGCCAATGCACAGAGGTGGGATAAATTTCCATCCTTCGTTCCGATCGATGAAACCTGCACATCCCTATTTTTTAGTGCACATCTCCATATTTTGAGAGCACATCACTATTTAGTTAGGTTATTCTCATATTAATGCCAGCCCACGACGCTACGTTAAAACAACTTCAGCACGCTCAAACCTAACATGCCAACATTTACTCTTTAACATGCAAACAATTATTGTTCACCCAAAACGGGTCCCACTCTCTCTTCCACCGCACCTACTTACACCAGGATAACCATCACGCACACGCGTACAAACACACGCGCACAAAAATGCGTACATTTACAAGCACGAGCAAATGAAAACACACGCATTATTACAAACAAGCACACATCCGAATAGACTAAAAAAATCCTGCACACACATAAAAACTCTCACACACGCACACACAAACTCACAAGCACCTATACGTGCGCGCCAACGCAAAAAAGGCATCCCATATTAGTGTTGGACGTTTTCATTTTATTTTATTCGCATCCTGCCTACCAGCATGTTATTGTTGGATTCGCAAGCAAGCTGAAATTTTTTCGCGTAGGTACTCTTTTCGCCTTCCTATCAATATAACATTTGTTTGTAATTTATATCACTCGTTTGTATTGTATCACTTGCTTGTATTGTATCATATGTTTGTTTTGCATCACTCGTTTGTATTGCATCACTCGTTTGTATTGTATCACTCGTTTGTATTGCATCACTCGTTTGTATTGCATCTCTCGTTTGTATGGCATCACTCGTTTGTATTTGTATAACTTGCTTAAACCATTTGTACCCCCAATGAAGAAGGCAGCAAAGATGTAAAGTGCCAACACTCACATAATATTCATTGTTTTATTTAAAGAAAGCACGCATGTATTGCTGGTTAGAAAAAAGTATGTGTATTTATATATTATATTTATATTTATTTAGTAGTATTTTAAGGTATATATATTTATTGTGTATGTATGTGTGTTAGTGTATGTACGTAAGCAGACATGTAGGTATGTATGTATGTATGTATGCATGTATATATGTATGTATGTATGTATGTATGTATGTATGCATGCATGCATGCATGCATGCATGCATGCATGCATGCATGTATGCATGTATGTATGTATGTATGTATATATGTATGTGTGTATGTATATATGTATGTTTGAACGTTTGTTAGTTTGCTTGTATGGTTATATAGCTCGTATAAAATATACAGTATAATTTATGTTTGTTTTTATGTTTATACGTCCAGAAGTTATGAATGTTTATTTGACAGGAATGTATGCTATTGGTTTTTAGGTATATTGGATTTCATATACAATGTTTTTAATTACACATATATTCATGCAATTAAGTTTGTATGCTACTATATATGTTTTTTTTTCTCTGCTGTATGTTAGTTAGTATGTTTATGTATGTATGTATGCTTGTATATTAATATGTATGTCTGTATATATGTTAGTGTATATATATATATGTTTGTATGTATGTCTAGGTTTTTATTATTATATAGAGATTAAGAGCAAAATCAATCAAATACAAATATAATCTACCAACAACAACCGAAAAAAAAACTACTAAAAGAAAACAATAGCAACAAAACAACGGCGAAAACAAGAAAAACAACAAAATACCAACAACAAAACAACACTAACAACAACATCAACAACAGTTAATAATCCCAATCCTCCCGTCATGAGAGATGATGTTTATAAAGCAATAACAATGTAAATTAGGAATAATAATAGTAGCAACAACAGCAGCAACAACAGCAGCAACAACAATAATAATAATAATAATTATTATTATTATTATGCAACAACATCAATAACTTCAACAACAGCAATAATATGCATTCGTTATGTTGTAACTCACTTGTGTATTTAAGGAGGAATCGTGGCACAAACTCGTTTTTATTATTATTATTATTATTGTTGTTGTTGTTGTTATTTTTATTATTTCTATGAACGTTATTATTATTTTTATTTTTCAGATTGGGACTTTTTCTCCCGCCATCAAATTCTTTCCCTTCTTCTTCTTCACCACCACGACCACCATTTCCATCATTACTATCACCGCCAGCATAATTGCTTGCATCATCATCTCCACCATCACCACCACCATCGTCGGCATCATCATCATGACGACCGCTCCTCTGTCTCCAAGCCTGTCTGTACTTTTTGAACCAGACCTTGAGGACGTGGGAAGTGGAGTTGTGGATGAGTGCGACCCTCAAGTCGTCGTGTTGGGGGCAGATGGGTCGGGCCCCCTCCAGAAGACTTCCCTCCCCTTCACTGTACCACCCGTATATGTGCCAACATGATGACGACGATGAGGATGAAGAAGATGATGATGATGGTGAGGAGGAGGAGGAAGAGGATGATGATTGTTTTCGCTGTTGGGTGTTGTCGTCCAGAAGATTCTTCATCTGCTGCTGCCTCATGTTCTGAATAAAATTTTATTTCATCAAAATGCCTCCATTACAAATTCAAAACATTTTCAAAACAACC